ACTGTGATGCAAACTGGATATCGAATATTAGAGACTCAAAGTCCACCAGTGGGTATGTCTTTACTCTTGGTGGGGTGGCTGTATCTTGAAAATCTTCCAAACAGACTTGCACTGCTAGGCTTACTATCGAATCAGAATTCATAACTTTAGATAAAGTTGGGAAAGCGGCAGAATGACTTCACCAATTCCTTGAAGATATTTCAATCTGGCCAAAACCAGTGTCTGTTATATGCATACATTGTGATAGTCAATCAACAATTAGTAGAGCACATAGTCATATATATAACGGTAAGTCACGACACATTCGTCATCGACATAACACCGTGAGACAATTACTCTCTAATGGAATTATTTCATTGAATATGTGAAGTCTAAAGACAACATACTTGATCCATTAACCAAAGGGTTAACAAGATAGTTAGTTGAGAATTCATCGGGGGGAATGAGACTTAAGCCTATTAAATAAGAGTTACCACAACGATAACCCAACCTAGTTGACTAGAGATCTCAAGATCTAGGTTCAAAGGGATAACCGAGTTGTGTATGACTCAAAAGGATTACTGGGGAGTTCAACTCCTACCCATTTTTATGATGAAATAGTGATGTCTGCAGCGTTTTAGGTTAAGTAATATTTTTAATGATTCTTATATCTAGGTATACCTGGTGGAGTATGACAGGATACTCTTCATAAAAATCACCTATATGAGTGTGAACGGGCCGGTTCCATGAGATTTGTAAAGGATTACAATTCTCTAGAGCACTCATGAAAGACTAGATTGTTCAGGGCCAAAATGAACACAATAGTGAGGACTAAATTGTGTCTAGTAATATACTGTGTGAGTTCTATTTTCCTGGTTTGCACAAACGACTGAACAGTGCAAGACATAATGTTCACTGATTAACTAGTAAATCCGATAGTGTCTCACAAGGGAAGGTTCAAAGCCAAAAACTACCTATTCTTTACAGAATATTTTCAATTTTTGTACTCTCTATAATTAGATCATGTTGTTGTATTTTCTTTCCGTCAAATTCTATTCACGTGGGAGATTGTTGGAAATAATGGTTTTATAGGCTTATTTTGGGCTAACTTTGAGCCCAAATTTGAGTGGGGTCTACATGTCTTTTGAGGTGGGTCTAAAGAGGTGACGTGTTCCTTATCGCATGGCAAGTCACACGGTAAAGACGATTCGTCAAAATCATTTATGAGTGAATGAGAACTTGACATCATTTTCGAGTTCATGGAATAGACAATTCAAGAAATAAAATATGGGTTTCCTTGAAATGGGTTGTTCCATGTTGAAACTTTAAGATAGCTTGTGTATGTATATAAGCTCTAGATGGTAACACTTGGGTTGGGTCCCAAGGGACACCCCACATTTGTAGAAAGGAGGAGTTATGGACAATGTGAACCTTAGCCCAAACCACCATACACGCGCCGCTGCCGCCGTGCCGGGCGCGAATGTGGGTTGTGGGTCGGGTTAGTTTTAACATTAATTTTTTGGATAAAATTTATTTGAATTTCAAAATGTATTTGAATTCAAATTTTTTGTCCAAAAATTGTGCCTCTTCCAAGTCCAAATTACACAAAATTCCCAACATATAACTGTTTTTAACAGATTTAAACTACCCAGCAATTGTCTGTCCAAAACTGCCAGCAGATCTGTTCAAATTCGAACTGTATCTATTCCAGTTTGAAAACAGATCTGTTCATCCCTTTTGTACCAATTCAGACAGATCTAAAGGTCACCTATTTTTGCCTATAAATACTACATCATTTCCAGTAGTTTGGTATTCAGAAATTCTCTTGTTGCTTTGAATTTTTGTTCTTTTTGCATTATTCTACATACTAGTTTTATGGAAAAAATTTTAGAGAGTTTAGAACATAGGTTTTGTTCATCGTACAAATTATTTGGAGTGCTACTACAATTTGTGAAAATCATAGTATCTTGGGAGATAGACGCCTTTTATCCGTAAGCACCGAAGCGGGGCGAATCTGCCTTAAGGACAGAGTGTCACACACTCGACTAGATCTTTTTGTACTTTTACATTTTGGTAAAATAAATTCTGTAAGTAATTTATTTTTGTTTGTTTTATTTGTTTCAAGTTATTTATTTTACACAGAAGATTGTTTCTACATGTTGTCTATTAGTCAATTTTTTACAAATTTTGTTTATAATAATTGAACACAAGTATAGATAGAGATGGCAATTTGAACCCGGCCCGATGGGAACCTGACCCCTCGACCCCGATTTAAGCGATTTTTTTTCAAAAAATACCCCTAATGGGACGATGATGGTATTCAAAAATCAATCCCTAATCAGTTTTGGGCCGGGGACGGGGATAAATGTCTAGTCCCCGTCCCTGGCCCCGCCCCGATTTGTCCCTGATGTAAAATTACCATTTTACCTCTATATATAAAAACCAAACCCTAAACCATTACACAATCACTCAACAGATACAGACAACCGCCTCTCCGTCTTCTCTCTCTCTCTCTCTCACTCATGTCTATAATTCATCTATGGTTTTGTTAATTGGTTTTGTAAAACAGTTAGATCTGGTTAATTCAGTAACAAACCTCCAAGAAATCTAACCAACTCATCGATTTGGTCAAGAAGAAGCAGATCTGTGGTATATATATACATATATATATGTGTGTGTGTATAATGAACAAATTTTTTTGGTCCTCTAGGTTTCAATTTTCTTGGTCCCTCTGTTTGTTTGGTTGCTACATGATATTTTTTCTCTTCTGCACCTTCCATGTAAGACTAATCGATGATGTGACTTGGCATATATGGCCAATTGGTTGTAGTTTGTGAATTAAACTATGTGTTGCAGGATCCTTGCATTTGAAAACTCTTATACTGGCTTGATAAGAAACTGGGGAGTTCTTGCCAGTATGAGATCTAAAAAAAAAAAAAAAATTCGAAAATTTTTCGGAGTCGGGGAAACCTGATCCCGTTAGGGGGCGGGGGCGGAGGGGCTAATGGGTTTCCCACTGAGGATCGGGGATGGAGACGGAAAATTTTGTGCCCTCGGAGATCGAGGACGAGGAGTATGATCCTCGATTCCACCCCGTCCCGTTGTCATTCCTAAGTGTAGGTGTATTTAACATGAATTTCTTTATTCCATTCAAAAGTAAGCCTCAAAAGGCAATCTCTCGTCCTTCAGCTCAAGTGACTAAGTAAGCAGATTGATTTTCACTTCACAAGTCGTTACAAACTCTTTTTTGTACTAATTAAAAAAAAGTAATTTATTCAAAAATTAAGTTGATGATGCGAACCCCAAATAGTACTAAAGCTAAGGAGAGGGATGGGGTTGACATTTTTGTTCGATTCTAAATCCGTTTCTCAAAAAAATTTAAATACTAATTTAGTAAAAAGAAATAAAAAATAGCTCATCATTTTCATGTAATTTTTTCATTTTTTGAGGTGAAAGTAATTTTTTAAATATTTAAAATAGTTTTTTTTAAAAATTTATTTTTATCAAAAGTTTTAACTTTTTTAAAAATTCAAAGAAGAGTTGAGAAAACTTAACTAAATCTATTATTTTACAAAAGTATCAAAATTTTAAATTAAAAATATGTTTTAAAAAATAAAGGAGGACTTATGTGTAGGTTCTAAAAATGTGGATTTATTATCCAAAAGATCTTATGATAATTAATGACGCTTTTCATCAGACACTATTAAAAAATATAACTAACTGTTAATTTTCAGTAACAGTTTGAAAATTTTCACAAAAAATATCACTAATTATAAATTTTAATGACAGTTTAAAAAAATCATTACAAAAAAATCATTAATTTTCAACTTTCAATGACAATTAGAAAAAATCGTCACAAAAAGTCACTAATTGTAAATTTTAACGACAATTTATAAAAATCGTAACAAAAAAAAGATACTAATTGTCAATTTTTAGAGACATGCAAAAAATTATTACAAAAAAGATATTTTTAGCGACGATTTTACTAGAACTTGATGGTAATTAAGTACAACTATTAGGATCTATTGATAATTTATCTAAAAAGATTTATAATAATTAAAGAAAAATGTAATAAAATAAAATAATAAAATTATTATTATATTATATCCCCACAAAATAAACATTCATACTATCAAAAATAAGGAATCGTTTAAAGAGGGACTCAAATAGCAAAAAGAATTAAATAAATTACTACAAAAATTACATATTATCTCTTGTGATTTGAAAAATTATAAATATTTTATTATCATAATTTTTTATTTAATGGAATTAAGTAAAAAAATAAAATTCATAACTATTCTCTTATAAAATAATAAAATTATTTGAATTTTTAATGAAGATATATTTTGGACATAATTTGAGTTGATGATTTATTGATTAAAAGGTCCATTTGTTATGAAGGTATGATATAATTTTCAAAATTACAAAACATAATTCATATATTAAGCAAATGTGAGGGGATGCATTTGTAATTTATCTTTGATTTTTTATAAAAAAGATGTGTAAAAGTCAAGAGAATAAATTCAATTTTGGGTAAATTATAAATACACTTCTTGATATTTACTTAAAACATGAATTGCCCTCTCTGATTTGAAAAATGACAAATACCACCTTGTTATAATTTTTTATTTAACAAAATTCACTGCAAAATAAAATTCCTAATTGTCCTTTTATACAATGATAAAATTATTTGAATTATTAATTAAAACAAATTTTTGATATCATGAAAAATTACTAATTGATTTAATAATTGATTAATAAAAAAGATCATTTATTATGAAATTAAAAATTTCAGTAGATGCGGGGTGATTTGAGATGTTCTAAATAAGTATATTTTTTAATTTTTTATAAAAAGATGCGTAGAAAAGTAAAAAAAAGATGTTAATTGATGTTACTTAAAAAAGATAAAAAGATAGATTAAAATAGGTTAGGCATATAAGGGTTATAATTTTCAGACCCTCGTATTTTAGGGATGTATTTGTAATTTGCTCAAAAATGAAAAAATAAAAAAATAAAAAAATTCCCAAACAGTTCCCAACTGTAGCTAACTCATTCACAGAGGGTCGGAGCAATTGAGCTTCATCAACAATCTCTCTGATCTGGCGATTGGAAGAAACCCTAGGCTAGCATCCATGGCAGGGGCGGCCTCGGCGCTCTTCCTTCTGGACATCAAGGGCCGCGTTCTGGTTTGGAGAGACTTCCGTGGCGATGTCTCTGCCGTTCAGGCCGAGCGCTTCTTCACCAAGCTCATCGACAAAGATGTTCGTTTTCGCTTCGTTTCTATCCTATGCTTTGTTTGTACTCGTTTTCAAGCAATTTTTATTTCCAAATCCAAAGTCCAGTTGATTAATTGGAGTAGAGAAGTTTGGTTGCTTAGAAAACGGAGGAAAATTCGAGAAAAAAAGAAGAGAAATTTGTGATATGCTCGATTGATGAAGTATGTGCCCATTTGAGACCAATTTCGATGATTTGTTAGCTAGAATTTATTATTTAGCTTGTAGACAAGTTTGATTGCTGAGAAAACTGAGGAAAATGCGAGGAGAAAATTGTGAGATGCTCGATTAAATGATGCTATGTTATTTGATTTGGATTAAGTATGTGCTCATTTGAGCTCAATTTGGATGATTTATTAGCTAGAGTTTTCTATTTAGCTTGTAAACTCGTTTGATTCCTGAGAAAACATAGGAAAATTCAAGGAGAAATTTTTTTTGTGAGATGGTGAATTAAATGATGCTATATTACTGATTTTGCAAATTTTTTTTTTTTAAGCTCTGTTTAGCTTGTAGACATGTTTGGTTCCTGAGATTACAGAGGAAAATGCAAGGGAAAAAAGAATAAGAAATTGTGAAATGCTTGATTAGACAATACTATATTATTGATTTGGATGAAATACGTGCACATTTGAGCTCAATTGAAAGCACTAATTGTGTTGATTTTTATTTATTTTTTCTCCCATCATTCTAAGAAAATGTAAAACGCTGACACTGGGACATATGGTTTGCAGGGTGATCCGGGGTCTCAAGATCCAGTTGCATACGATGATGGTGTCACCTACTTATTTGTACAGCACAACAATGTCTATCTCATGACCGCATCAAGACAGAACTGCAATGCTGCTAGTCTTCTTCTCTTTCTGCACCGGGTAGTTGATGTAAGCCCCTATTGTGATTAAAGATTTATGCTTTGACTAATGCTTTCTTCTTTGATGAATCAGTTTTGCAAATTTAATTATACATGTTTTGGTTGGTAGGTCTTTAAGCATTATTTTGAAGAGTTAGAAGAGGAATCACTTAGAGATAACTTTGTTGTAGTGGTAAGTTAATTTATCAATTCCTTTTTCTATCAAGAAGGTCCTTTGTTTTGATTGTGATACTAACAATTGATTGGAAGAAGCTTTACTGATGCTTTTTCATTTGGTAGTACGAACTACTTGATGAGATGATGGACTTTGGCTACCCTCAATACACTGAAGCAAAGATTCTAAGTGAATTTATTAAGACCGATGCTTATAGGATGGAAGTGACACAGAGGCCACCTATGGCTGTGACAAATGCTGTGTCTTGGCGCAGTGACGGCATAAATTATAAAAAGAATGAAGTACGTGTATTCTTGTGAGAGATATTAACTGATATTGAAGCCACTGGATTATTTCATTTTTTTTTCCTTGCTCAGGTATTCTTGGATGTTGTAGAGAGTGTTAATATACTTGTCAACACCAATGGGCAAATAATTAGGTCAGATGTTGTTGGTGCATTAAAGATGCGAACTTACTTGAGGTATGTTGCCCAACCTGCTTGCAAAATTTGTTTAGATTACTCAGTGGCTAAGCAAGAACAATCTGAACTTCCGTCATGCCTGTTTTGTTCTCCATTCTTTGTAATTCATCCGCTCCGCTGTAAGTTTGGCTTAAGGATATGCATGCATGTGTAGTGAACAAAGGCATGAGATGATAACAATTTTATGGCTGCAGTAAATCTACATCGATTATCTGTACACCTGAGCATCAATGTCTATGGTTCCTGTTTATTTTATTTGAGAGCCTATCACGCATCACAAATCTAGTACTGAAATACTTGTAGGAAAAGCAAACAATAATGCTGGTTGTTTAAGATATCCTAGTTTGTTATTTGTTAGGAAGATGCTACCCAGTAAATTCATTTCTGTTGCAAGATCTTTTCTTCATTCAAGATCTTACAGCCTAACAAGCATTGCTTTACTAGTAATATATTATGGTTTGTCACTGCATGAATATTTTTGTGTTTCATGGAAGAACACAGGTTGAATCCTTGAGTAATTATAGAATCCAAAAATTCTTCGCTCTGCTGGAGGGTTTACTGGTTTGAGTTTATTATAATCCTAAAATTAAGATATCATGCTAGGCTCATTAATTATCTATATACTAACTAAAGAGTTGGTCACATTGCCTTATCTGCTTGTTGCATCCAGACCCTAAGGTCTGGAGTCTGTCATATGGATGTATAGATATGCAGATCAAGGTTTGATTAGAATACTAGAAGGCAGCTTGGCCAGACTGGTCCTTGACAAATAACATTTTATGTTGAATACTAACATGCTAATATTGGGCAAAACTTGATTTTGTTAAAATATGCAATTAATATTATGTACTTGTGCAGAAGTTATGATGCGATTTGAGCTGTTCTGTAAGGATGGTGTTTGGCCACATAGGCCCACTGAGATTGCATAGAGATGGACTTTTGTTGTCATTGTACCATGATTTGTGATTGCCACGAGCTGACAAACTTGGCTTCCTGGTAAATTCATCAACTTTTGTAGCCTAAAATAGTGGCAACCGTTCTTAATAATGGATATCCAATTGGAGGCTGCGCGTTAATAATGCCATTTCACGTCTAAGAGTTTCGTAGGGGCAAAGGAAGTCTTTAATTGAAGCTTTTTGGCAGTGTTTGGTAAGGCTTTAAAAAGTTGATTCCACCCCTTGGTTTGAGTGTGGTGTTTGGTTAGAGTTTTCAAAAATTGATTTCACACCCACTTTGAAAATACGTCTACCCTAATGGATATCCAATTGGAGGCTGCGCGTTAATAATGCCATTTCACGTCTAAGAGTTTCGTAGGGGCAAAGGAAGTCTTTAATTGAAGCTTTTTGGCAGTGTTTGGTAAGGCTTTAAAAAGTTGATTCCACCCCTTGGTTTGAGTGTGGTGTTTGGATAGAGTTTTCAAAAATTGATTCCACACCCACTTTGAAAATACGTCTACCTGGTCATCCTCCCGGACGTCCGACCGGTTGACTAGAACAGCGTTTGTGTTTTTTTTTGGCACATGTTTTTATATTTTAAATAAAAAATATTTTCGAAATTTTTTAAAAAATTTTATGAGTTTTGAATAGAATTTTGGATTGTGTGTTTGGTTATGAGTTGTAAATTTTTGAATCAAATATCATATGTCACATCAAAAATTTCGAACTTAGTTCAAAATTCTTTTCAAAACTCATAACCAAACAAATTTTGTACACTCAAATCATAATTTCAAAACTCACAAACTCACAAACTCAAAATACAATTCTATTTTCAAATCATAATTCTAAAACTCTATCAAATGCTACCTTTGTTTTTCCTTAATTTGTTTGTTGATTTTCTGTTGGAGGGTTGGGTATCAGAGAGTTGTCAGAATAAGCACCTTAAAATCTTAATGAAGTATATTTCTCATGAGTACGCTTTTTAACTCAAATTTGGATGAATTTAACTAATTTATTTTGGGTTTAGTTTAAATGAATTATTTCCACGTAAGAGAAATGCACATTTGCTTAACTTCAATTATTAGTAGTGTTATGTTAGTTGAAAGAAAACATATATTAGCTGGTAATCCAATACCAGAATAACAATTTCATGTTTCCTACCTCTGATCTGAACCTTCAACTCTATTGGACAAACAATTCTCCTTAAAATTTAAAAAATAAAAAGATGAAGAGTTGAGTTTGAGGAAGAAGAAGAAGAAGAAGAAGAAGAAGAAGAAGAAGAAGAAGAAGAAACTGCAGATTTCCACTAGGAAGAGTTGAGTTTGAGGAATTCATTTTACGTAAAAATTCCAACCTGCGTATACATGTGCTTAAGTCATCTTGTATACAGAAAATTCAATTCTGCATATGCATGTGAATGTAGTGCTTGTATATTTGGACCTAGATACTTGCTATAGTCCTCATTTTCTTTGGAAATCTGTTACTTTCTAATCTTGCTCGTGAGGGCTGCAAAGCTTGTGCTTATGGCGATGTGTGTTTGATGATCTCTATATCCTCTCATAAAGCAAACAAACTGATAAACATGGGATCTGTACATTGGTCCATGTAAAACGAATGAGAGCAGTGGATTGCATTCCAAAGTTTTTCATCCTCGCTGAGCTTTTATTCATTCTGATGACTATCGAAAACCATATAGTAATCATCCTTCATCTTTTGCAGTGGTATGCCTGAGTGTAAGCTTGGGCTAAATGACAGGGTGTTGTTGGAGGCGCAAGGGCGAGCGACGAAGGGAAAGGCCATTGATTTGGATGACATCAAGTTTCATCAGTACATAACTTAACTCTCTGGTTTATTTGTATTTTGTTGTTTGGCCAGGAAATATGTTGTAGTGTTGGACACAAATGCTAATCAGTCTATTCCAAAGCTAATGCCCACTTTTGTTTTAGGTGTGTGCGTTTGGCACGATTTGAAAATGATCGGACAATAGCCTTTATACCTCCTGATGGATCTTTTGATCTCATGACATATAGACTCAGTACACAGGTTTTTGCCTTGTGCTTTAGAAACTTCTCTCTTCCTCTCTTTTCTTTTTGTTTTCTATTTTTTTTTTTTCTTTATGAAGATTATTATTTGTTTTCAGGTAAAGCCTCTGGTATGGGTGGAAGCTCACGTTGAAAGGCATTCTAGAAGTCGTATGGAGATTACGGTGAAAGCACGTAGCCAATTTAAGGAGCGTAGGTATGGATAAGGATTTATGGGTCAATTGCTTGGGCTGTTTGAAATGCCTGATCATTAGATTTTTCTTAACTAATTCATGAATTGAATCAATTTTACAGCACTGCTACAAATGTTGAGATTGAGTTGCCTGTTCCAGCCGATGCTACCAACCCAAATGTTCGGACGTCATTGGGATCTGCTTCATATGCACCAGAAAAGGATGCTTTGATCTGGAAAATTAAATCTTTTCCTGGTGGTAAGGTGAGAGTTTACCTCAAATTTTTCTCGGTGTATTGTTTGCTAGTAATTTCTTGTTCATGGCTATTGGTTATGTGGGGCTACAGTATCTTTTCCACTTGCAATTTTGACATGGGATTTTGACACTCTTTTCAAATTCAATTTAGGAATATATGCTTAGAGCGGAGTTTACTCTTCCCAGTATAACATCTGAAGACGCAGCTCCTGAGAGAAAAGCTCCTATACGTGTGAAGTTTGAGATACCATATTTTACTGTTTCAGGAATCCAGGTTTCCCTCTCAAATACAATTTTTTTAAAATTTTTTTTTGAGTAGAAAATTCAGCTATTGTTGCATTTACATGTGCAATGCTTCATTCTTTCTGTGTCTGCTGTGTTTGCGTCTTTTTTCGCATTTTTTTTAATCTATCTAGACAAAGGTGGAATGGATAAAACCAAACCTTGTGTTCCAACCAGGAATGATAAACCAAAACCAAACCAAACCTTGTGTTCCAATGAGGTGGTGGGAGGATTCATACTTGATGTGGAACACAAGTTTTTTAAAGATCACAACGCCCACCAACACCCACCCTGGCCTATGAGTCCAAACCCACATACAAGTCAGCGAAAGGGCCTAATTTTGGAGGATTCATGGTGACTTATAAGGCTCACTGTGGTTGAACACTCAAATCTGATGCAGGATATCACTCCCTGTTATGTCCATGTAGCCATGCGCCTACCATTACTGCTCTGCTCTCCCTGATCAAATCAACAAATAAAAAATAAAATTAAAAAAAAAAGGCTGGTTGCTGGACTGAGAATACTATTTCACTCACTTCCCAGGATTGCAGGATACATAAATCTGCATTTTGTATGACTTTTTTTTTGGGTTTCATTATGCCCTGAAATGCTTGTCCTCCCAACAGAGGTCATGAATGACTGTGAAGGACTGCTCCCCTGTAACTACCTATTTCAATATTACTTCCTTTTGACTCTGGATTAAAAGGGCCAACCTGCTTTTTAAATTCACAGATGTGGATACAAAAAAAGGCCAAACTACTCTCTGTCTGTCTCAGCCATTTTGGCACTGTAATTTGTCATTAGCCAGTGACAGAAGCTGTGCTTGTTGGAGTGGTATTCCTGCTCCTGCACTGTATTTCTTTTTAGAATGGAATAGCCTGTTGAACTTCTTAGAGATGTGGTTTTCCACAGATGTTAGTGATTGAGCATGATTGAACCAATGTATCATAATTGTTCAGATTCTTGCTTGCTGCTTTATGCTGCTGGGATGTGAAACTTCTAAACCTTAAGCGAAGGGGTTGATGCCTACTTGCCCTAGTTCTGGTCTTGTTCTTGTTCTGAGGAGTGAACAGTGCCACTGGTTTTAACTTTGAAATTTATTTTATTTTATTCAAGTTGGTTGGGGAAACTGCTTTGGTGACTCTTCATGATGATGTATTCCTGTTGTTTGGTTCTTCTAGATGCTCAGTTTGGTTCTGAACGTAACGTAACAACCATAATAAAATAATATCCTTTATTTATGTAAATGTTGTGTTTTGTAGGTTCGTTACCTAAAGATTATCGAGAAAAGCGGCTACCAGGCTCTTCCGTGGGTGAGATACATAACCATGGCCGGCGAGTATGAACTAAGACTTATGTGAAAATCCACTTCCACCTGTTGGTGTTTTCAATCTCTACAAACTCGCATGATTTTGCACTTTTGTGGGCGAAATGAGCCCTATAGGAGAGTTAAATTGCCCCTATCCAAACAAATAGCTAATTGAGCAAATTCTTGTGTGTCCTTGTAGAAGTTGATGTTTACTAGCAAAGTTTATTTAGACTCTTGTGAAAATCAAGTCAACTTTGGTGAATTAAAGTTTGTTTGTTCGTGATATTTTTTTGAACTCGTCCGCTTTTTATGTTTTTATTAATTCAAAAAACCGAAGGTATATGCATCAGCACAAGATGATTGTCATGGTAATTTATGTACACGTTTTGAAGAGATTGGATCTACCAGCCTTACAGTTTGCCTTAAATCTTATGCATGCTTCTTAGATCCCATCAACGGCGCAGAAGAGAAGTGTAGGCTGGTCGGTCGAGGGATGGAATGATCTGAATTTGGTAACATATTCACTCACGTCTGACGTCATTTTTTTTGCTTACATATGTGCCCTAGTTTCTCCAGCCCTTATCTGATAGAAGCAAACAAAATTTTGACGTTGATTTGGTATGCATCTCAAAGCACCTGTTGAGGGAGAAGTTATTGGGTGATTCAAGACCAAGGCTAAGTGTGCTCAACAGCATTATGATTGGTTAGTGTTACGATGAATTAACATTATTGTCCAGACACAATCTCATCAACAGGGAATTTAGCCAACGGATGGGAATGGTGTAAGTGCATCACTTGTTGTTGTCCTTGAACCAACTAATAATTTTTCCCTATCTAGGACATTGGCCATAATGGAGTGTTAGCCATAATGGAGCTGCAACACTCCCTTACGATCGATACTCCATTAGGATCAATGCAGTGCAATGTTAGTAACATTGCATTCTATGTAAATTTCTTGTGTTCAACAAATCATTGTGTAAGACATTTGTAATACAATAATGGCAGAAATATTAACTAGTGTGCCAACAAACATAATTAAGACACAAAACATGTCTTTAGCATTCATCACTTGAGAGTCCAAATGATTTTATGTTAAAGAGAGCACATTACAATGTCCATGAAGCAAAATAAAGACTGTATCACCCAGTCTTGTATACTTACATATATATATATATATATAACGATGGTGTATCCTAGATTCAAAACCTGACTTGTGTTTTAAGCAAGTCATTCTTTATTTGAAGGTTTCAGCATGACTCATCACTTAAGATTTCCATTGGTAGGTGCTTGGATAGCCAACAACCTCTCTAGAAAGAGCTTGAATTCCTCTTCCTTGCTCACCATGCTAACCCTAACATACTTTGGATCACTCCCAAACCTTCTCCCACTTCTTGCTAGAACCTTGTGTCCTTTAAGAAACTTCCCCAAGTCCTCTATATCCTTGTTGCACTTCAGCCATGCAAAAGCTGTTCCCCAAAAATTAAAACAAGATATTATTAAAACGAGTACAAAAAGTCTACGGAATAATGTAGTAGATTATATTTTGTTACTTTAAACTAGAAGACCCATTAAAGTATTCTATTATTTCAAAATGTAATTGCCACATTATTTTAGTTGAAAATTGAGTTGTTGATTAAATACATTAGAAAATTAGTTTGTAACTGTAGCAAAACTGAAAACTTATTGTTACAATTAAGTAGGATTAATCTAGTTAGTTTGAGGTAAGGAATTTAAAGTTTTGCTATAAGCAAGACTCCCTCAGTTCAAACAACCAACTCGATTGTCCCAAAATATATATATATATATAGTGAATGATGCAGCTTGTCTCTCGTCCAAATTTGGACTGGACTGCTCCAGTTTGAGTTCTGAGTTTCTCACCAGTTCTATTTCAATAATCTAATATGTTCATTTTATAAATCATATTTAATTAAATTGATTTAATAATCGTAACCTCATGATTTTATCATATTTGTCTCTGAAATAATAGATGATAGATATGATTTGAAAATAGACCGTTCATTTATTTGAAAACAAAAATGTTGACGTCATATTGGCTATAATTATCAGATCAATTTGAATTCTTTTATGAATAATCTAAACACGACTTAAAAATAAATGAATCAGATTAACAGGATATGACTTGTAGACTAGAGACAATCTGCTCCCTTTAATGAAGTGTTAAAAAGTAAGCTCTTGAGGAAATTACCGGGATGTGTTTCAGTGAACTTTCCAGTGAAGAGGCAGTAATCCTGTGGGTACTCAGGCAGGCTGAAGATTTCACTGTGTCCAACCACTTCTCTCAGCTCATCCCACCTTTGAACCATTAGATTTTGACTGAATTTGAAGAAGTTAATGGAGTCAGGAGGAGGAACAGGTAGGCAGCTATCAGAGATCACTCCCAAGATCTTTGCAGCTCTGATTTGGGATTCTTTTGAAACCCCAATTGTGCTAACCTCCATGAACTTTATCATCCTTCTTGCCACTTCTTTCTCCTTCACCAGAGCCCATCTACACCCAAAACACACAAAAAATAATAAATAAAACAAGAGACCTCTCATGTTCGCGAGGAGCCAGTTTCTCCAGGTAGTGTTTCCCACCCTTTTCTCATTTGTGATTCTCACATCACTCTGGCACTCAATCTCTTTTTTTCTAAAGAAAAAAAAAAAAAAAAAGAGAATAGAGAACACTTGCATATCGACCAACGGGGATTAGTATGAGTTCATAGGTAATTCACAAGTCAATTCGCAACTGATGAATCTGATTCCGATTCAAAGCTATCATACGCGATTCATAGTCTATATTGTCTTTTTAACTCCTATAAAAATTGATGCTTTTTTAAAATAAAAAAAAAATGGAGAAATTACAATTCCGTGGAAAACAGGACAAATAATTACAAATTAATAAAAGTGCCAGTGGGTTTCTATCCTAGTACAAGTGAAAGCTATGGCCTCACTTGCATTCACTTACACTTTCATGAATTTGTAATTATTTATCATACTGATACTTGTTGTTTAATATTTCCAATGCTATATATTATACCGTGATTGATACTGATTCATCAGTCAATATTACTATTTAAAACTTTGGAATAGGGTGCCATGCCATAAGAAACTTACCCAATGCGAGATCCAGCATGGCCAGTGCATTTGGAAAATGTGAAAAGCATAATGTCATGATGAGCACAAGAAGTGATGGGAGTGTACTGAGGCCAGTAGTAGGCAAGGTCATGGACAAGCTTCCCTCCACCATATCCTTTGACAATGGCTTCTCTAATGGTGCCATCTGGGTTGTTTGGTGAGGTCACGAACTCAATGTAGGGTCCATCTTTATCAAAGGCGTTTGCATCACCTGCCCACTTATAGAGTCCTGATCTTAAGAAGTCTGTCACCTCTGGATAGCACTATATATAGCAAATAAAACAATGTGTTAGATGTACAAAATTAAAACACATAATGTATTATAGAATAAAAATAAAGATTCTCCCTAGTTCACTGGCCCGTGGGCTATCGCAGTACTGTAGTGATTTGAACTGTTTATTTTAAAGAGTCTTGTGTCTAGTGTTCCGTATATATATATAAGAAAACTGAGGAAAATGCGAGGAGAAAATTGTGAGATGCTCGATTAAATGATGCTATGTTATTTGATTTGGATTAAGTATGTGCTCATATAAATTTTTAAAAAAAAAAAAACAAACAAACAATCCTAGTATTTGTTTGGTGGGAAAGTTCTCATTTAAGATTGCACTATGCACTATGACATTGGCATTCCTTTGAATTTCCTTTTTTATTTTTTAAGAACCGACATTACAGTGTATTAGAACAATGACATTGAGAACTATACCATATATTTAAAATAATTTAGTTAAGAAAACCATGCACCATTTGTACCATTTGTATCCTAAATATATAAATATATATATATATATATATATATATTTTTTTAAAACTGAATACTAGTTATTTCACCATTGATTCATGAAATCTTTTTTGGTTAAATAACATATGTAGAACCACTTTCTTAAATTCAGATTGCAAGTAGATTTGTTGCAATTTATAAACAAAAGCTTCAGCATGGGAGACGGTTTGTTCCACAGCAATGATTTGGTTGCTTTTGTTTGGTTGACTTTTGATGATACTGCGTGTGCCAGATGGAATGAGTTGGACTGATCCACGCTTCCCAAACCAGGGTCCGAATAACCAAGCCCACAGAGGAACTTGGACAAGAGTTCAACGGGAAACGGGGAGTCCCCCAGTGAACCCTCCGACGAGCAAGTTAGAAAGAGAGGTGGAATATAGAGATAGATTAGAGATAGAAAGCTTAACCTTCGACGGGGAGGGGTTATCGCAATAAATGCTGTAAGGGACTTCATTAATAGCTGATGTGCAGTGCAATAACTTTGCAAGATCTTTGTCTGCTTATGTGGCTTGTCCTTCTCTTGCCACGTGTTTAGATGTCATTGGTTCTTAATGCCATGCTGAGCTCCAGCAACTTTGGGCTTTAGTATTTGAATTATGTATTGGGCACTAAGTGGGGGGCTTGGGTTGTTCATGGCGGGCTATAGCCTTTATGGGCTTACTCATGTCAGTAGTCCCCTATTCCCAAGTGCATCTTTAGTCCAAAGAATGGAATAATGAAGAAAACGATGGTTGTTAGAGACCGGCGGGGCGAAGACCGACCGAGAGGTGGGCTGACGGCGACGGGTGGCTGAGCGGAGGGGCCGATCATGAGGAGGGCCGATCGCAACGGGTGGCCGAGTAAAAGGGCCGACCATGAGAAGGGCCGACCGCGAAGGGTGAGTAAGTGGAGGGACCGACCATAAGGAGGGCTGATCACGAAGGGTGACCGAGTGAATGAGCTGACCATAAAGAGGGCCGACCGCGAAGGGTGACCAAGTGGAGGGGCAAGTGGCAGTGCGTGAGCCTCGAGGAGTGGCAGGGCACGTGGTGATTTGAAGTGGAAAAGACATGGTAGGGGAAGGGGGCAGTGGATCGTGGTCGTACACGTGGCGGAATCCTGTGGTGGGGGAGGTTAGGCGTTGGGCAAGAAACAAAAGGGTAGGTAAACATAGGGTGTTGAAAAGGCAGTTTTGGCGGACTTTTTGAAAATTTTCAAGCTGGCAAAATTTAATTGTGACCCTTGGAATACAGGCAAGCCTTGGGCTTTTGGTGTTATTCGCTTTACCTATCTTTTTGCAAAAAATCAAAACGTTCTAGAAGTAAACTCTTTTGTTTCTAGTGACACATCTCTGCAACATTTTGTGAACTTTCTTGTGCCCGCGTCCGAAGCCATTCGCAGACACACAAGAGAAATGGCTCGAGAGGATGCGCCCACCGTGAGACGAGATGTGTTGGAAGACGATGACGCGGTGGACCTGGCGGAGCAATACAAGACGGAGAGACGAGTAGGAAATGAGGGGGAGCCGGTGGGGCGACCTCGTTCGTCCACACTAATAGCGGCTGCGAAGCCAATCAGTCAGGTTGAGTCAAATCATTGGCACATGAAGGCCGACAAGTTGACCATTACCGCAGAGGAGTTGGAGGGTATGCGCGAGAAATATCAGATTCCCGCGGAAATAGAGTTGAAGCTGCCAACATCGAAGGAGAGGCCATCTGACGCCCGACCAGGAGAGTTTGCCCTCTACGAGGAGGCATTGAAGGGAGGGTTGAGGTTGCCGCTTTCGCAGATGGTAGTGGACGTGCTAAACTGGTTGGAGGTGGCACCGGGTCAACTAATGCCCAATGCGTAGAAGATTTTACTGGCTTGTGCAAGCGCGTGGCCGCGGGCGAATGAGGGGGCGGTGATGACGGTGGACGAGTTTTTTGCATGTTACAAGGCTTCGGGTCAGCAAAAAACTTGGGTCACTTTGCAAGCGGCGGCAGGGAAGGGTCTGGTGGCGGGGTTGTCGTCGTCAATTAAGGGGCGGAGGCCGCGGTGGTTCTATGTGTCTGTAAACGGAGGAGTGGGAGTGCGCATGGTGTGGAGAGTGCCTACCAAGTTAGTGGAGCCAAAACTGGGGACAGTAGCGGAGGAGAGGGTAAAGAAGGTGAAGGCATGAAGGGAGAAGGAGGGCGCTAAGTGGGACGACCTTATGCAGCCCTCAGCCTTGTTTGCCTCAAGGCTGGGCCCTCAGCCAACCGGTGGAGATCTGGCACCGGCAGAACTAGAGGCGAGGAGGAAGGTGCAAGAGGCGGAGGATAGGGCAATTTTTGCCAAGGCCAATAAATTGAAAGAAGCACAGTTAGGTTGTCCCCCAAAATCGATCGTGAGGAAAAGAATCTGACCGCGCCCCAAGCCGCTGGGGACAAAGGACTTGAGCGATTTTGAGCCACGACCGCCCTCAGTTGATCTGTTGAAGGAGAAAGGCAACAAGGAGGTGGAGGCTGTGTTAAAGAAAAAGAAGAAGAGAGTAAGGAAGAGTGAGGAGGGGCCAGCCTTGAAAAGGATGAAGGAGGTGATGGTGGAGGAGACCCCCGAAGTGGGGTTGGAGGAGGCAGCAAAAGAGATGGAGAGTGGGGCGACTGGCCCTGAAAAACAAGTTGAAGATGGGGCGACTAGCCTTGAGGAGGGGGTAGAGCAGCAGCCTAAAGGGGGCCCTGCGCCCCAAAGAGAGGGAGAGAGGGTTAAGTTGAAGACTGCCATTTACCACACTCCAGCAGTGTCTAGGCGACTGGAGGGAGAAGGAGGCCCAGCCAGGACTGCTACCGACCGGCTCTTGGGTGTGGTGGAGGACGCGGCAGTGTGTTTCATGGCCAGTTTCACTGAGGCCGAACTGCTAAGGGGGTTGTGCTCTGCCTAAATGAAGGCGACTGCCTTAGCAGGAGCCCTACTGAACAAGGCAGCGACTACAAAAGGCAAAGTGAGGCCACTGAAGGCAAAGTTGGAGGAAGTGGAGGCCCAACTTAAAAGTTTGAAGAGGGAGACCGCAGGCTGGAGAAAGACTGCGCGGAGTGCGTGTGTTAGGGGGTTGAAAGAGGCCTAGAAAGCCAAGAAGATGGAAGTGTTGGCGATGGTATAGGGCTATTCAGTCGACCGAGCCAATGCTGAGCTGGTCGTGACTAAGTTAGAGCTGGAGGCGGAATGCCGCAAGGTGGTGTCACTCGAGTTCCAATTGGGTGGCGAGCAGAAAAAGCTAGAAGAGGCCTAGAAGGCTTGCACCATTGCCAACGAAAGGTGGGACGAGGCCATGACCTGCAACAAAGATCTGAGCGCTCAGTCGATCAAAGAAAAAGAAGAAGTAGATCTGAAGATCGCTGAGTTGGAAAGGGCGATGGCAGACGAGCAGGCCAAGTCAATGGCGGAGGAGGCGGGGTTGGAAAAGGCCTTGGAGGAGGAAAAGGCCAAGTTGGCATCTGAGAGGGCGGCGTACCCCGATTTGCATGTTGCAGCGATAGAGCAGTTCAAGGGGTCCGCTGACTTCCAGATGGCCATTGATGCTGCCATCGCCAGCAGCATGGCGAGAGAGGGAGATAGGGGGGCTGGCTCGTCGGGAGCGGCCGCTAGAAGCAGGAGTGAAGAGGAAGTGATCCAGAGCTTCCAGCGGTCGGACTTCTACAAGCATGAGATGGCTGAGTTTTGGGATAGCGGCTGAAAGACTTTCAGACGCAAAGCAGAAGAGCTGTTCCCAGACTTGGACTTCAGCAATGTAAGAATAGATGAAGACGACGTGGCCTAGACCCCTCTTGATGAGGGGGTGAATGAAGAAGACCTCGCCTCAAGCGAGGAGGAGTGATTGATTGTAAAGAAAAATTTGTAAACAAAATTTTTGTTTTTGTTGTTTGTTTTTTGTTGTGTAATTGCTGTAGTGGACTTATGTGTAAGTTTGTAAATAAATAAAATTATGAGTTTGCATTTTTTCATACTGTTGCCTTTATTCCTTGTAAATCTGAAAAGAATGGTCACTCAAATAAGGCTTGTGTATAGATCATAGTAAAGGTTGAGAAGTAGGGAGCCAATCTAACTGGAAAGAAAACCACAACGCAAAGTGAAGTTTAAAATGTGAGAATGTTAAAAAATGTGAAGTTTCAAATCACGACCCAATAGGGAGCCAGTCTAACTTGTAAAACGTTGAATTGTAAAGGTCCTAAAATGTGAAGTTTTAAATCATGTGGTGAGAGTGTTGATAAATGGAAGGTTAGATTGGGAAATGAAAGTTAAAAAATGTAAAGAATGTTAAGAGGCATAAAAGCATGGACCTAGAATTTGACTAAGTATGGCAACTATGTCACAATCATGAAGTTGCAAGAATGGCCTTGGCCGAGCTCTTTATTCGTGCTCAGTTTGGGTTGAGCCATAATTAACTCAGTTTAGCTGACTCTTCAAGTAACTCAGTCTAGACGAGCTTTTCACGCTCAGTCTGGCTGAGGCTTTAAGTAACTCAGTTTGGCTGAGTCCTTTGTGCTC